CATCAGGTGCACACGTTATTATCAACGAAACACCTGTTTACGTTTAACCCAACACAGATTCTGGAAATCAAACCAAAGCTTCGTGGAGGTTTGTTTCAGATGAGGTAATGGAGTCAGACCCAGCTTGAAAAGGCTCAATAAAGACTTGACACAAGAAAGCAGAACTTTAACTTCTTTGGGATAAGGCATCATGCAGATGGCTTCCTGTTTTGCCTGAAATAACGTGAATTCCAAGATTATCAGAAACCATATTTAAAAGGAAGCGTAGAAATAAATGCCCCAAAGCAGGCCACACGCAGGAGCTGCGTTACCAGCAGCCCCATCTGCTACGCCGTTGCATATACTTTTTTCCCATAAGACTTATATTTCGTTTTTTCGAAACAATTTCATTGTATTCTCCAAATAAAAGACTGATGAATCTTCTGAGAAGAAAACAAAAGAGGGAAGGATCATCTTTGATCATGCAGAGACTTGACTGCAATCACTGTGTGTGAAACAGGGCATGTCATGAGGAGGCAGCTGAGCTCTTTATAAAGAGTAATTTCTCCCCTACACATTCCCCCTTTCACTTAGTTATGGCTGTAGTTTCCAATCATGGCAAGGGCTGGGCTGTCTGTCTTCCACCACATGCTCTGCTAGCTGACAGAGACCATGGAGCTGTGGAAATAGAAATGGGAGGGAGAGGCTGTAAAGGAGTTACTGAAGGCAACATGATCTTAGTTTACAAACACAAAGTTAATTGCTTACATGTCCCACAGAGAAAGCCAGTATCTGGAATCGGGCCAAAGTGTTTCCATTTTTACTGCTCTAATTTTGGGGAAGCCAAACGTTTTCAGACAGAAAATGCCTGAGACTTCAAACGCCTTTCCTAGGCTCCTCCACCAAACTTCTCCCACAAAGTATGGAGCTGGCAGAGGGAGATGCCCAGGACAGACACCGGGCCTCCTGAAAATCTACAGGGAGGCACACCCTTCCCACTACTGTCAAGGGGGAAAAATGTCTTTTTCTTTTATTATTGTAGCCTAAAAATCCTAAAGGCTTAAGGGAAGTTTGTGTGCACACATTTCAAAGCAAGTCTGTAGAGACGGGGTTGGGAGTGGGGAGGCAGAGCTGTTTAGAATTATAGACCATGCAGCTAATGGCATGAGTATAATTTAAACTATGAAAAAAAAAAGTAGCATGGGCGCAAACGCTGTGCTTGCTGGAGTAAGAGGCCCAGTCACTGAGGGCCAAATAAAACGGCAGAGCCCGCGACAGCTGCTATAGGTGCTACGGTGAGGGCTTTACAGAAACTGCTTGGGAACCCCCGACCGCCTGGTCCCTCCACCTGGGTCAGGGGCTCCTGCCAAAGTCTGTGCAGCAGGAGTGCTGGGGAAGATGTTAGGGACCCGAGAAGCTCCAGGTCCAGCATCCGCATGGCCCCTCTCCACGGCAGCTACGAACACCTGCTGGGCACTGTGGGTATGAGAGCTGCCCAACAACATAAAGCGTGCACAGGCACACACCCTGACGCAGGGCGACACAGACACGCACACACGGGTTAGAAGCCAATTCCAGCAGAGTCTGCGTGAGAAGCGCCGCCATGCTGCTCACTCCAGGGAGGTGACAACGCAGGAAGCCGGCGGAAGTGCCCAACAAGTTGGGATCTCAAGACATTTCGTTTCAGAAACTGGTGGAGTTAATTAGCCACAGGTGTTAAGTGTTATCAACAATCTCTTTTTAAGATGTTTTCCAGGATGCTTTTTTTTTTTTTTTTTTTAGAGACAGAGTCTCATTCATAGCAACCTTCAACTCCTGGGCTTAGGTGATAGCTGGGACTACGGGCACCTGCCACAACACCCAGCTATTTTTTTGTTACAGTTTGGCTGGGGCTGGGTTTGTAGCCATCACCCTCGATATGTGGGGCTGGTGTCCTACCCACTGAGCTGCAGGCACCGCCCCAGGGTACTTTTTAGTGTTGTATGATAAACACAGTTAAGAATCAGGTTAGTTGCCCTGAAAGTAATGGCACTGCTGTTTCAGAACAAGAGAAATCAAGGATAGGTCTGTCCCTGCCCCGCGTGAGGGAGGAGCCCGAGTCACAAGAGGCCTCTCGTGTTGAGCTACTGGCCTTTCTCTGTATCTGCTGGGTTCCAGGACTCAGCTTTTCAGGAAAAAGATCTTTTCATTTCAAAGCCTTTCTCTCAACTGTCCTAAACTAGAGGAAGCCAGAGTTTCATCCATTAGTTTATATGTATCTATGTGTCTGGGAAAACAGACTTTTTTTTTTTTTTAGCACAAAATGAAGTTTACTGAGGAAGAGAAAGATAGGTTTACAGAACAAGAGCAAGACACAGATTACAGAGCAAGACGCGGTTGCCACAGATGAAGAAGCGGCCCCCTTGTCGTAACAAAAAGGCTGAACTATTTCATAAAAACACATCAGCTTGTTCGAATTTCTGGAAGAGAATCATCAGGTCCACAATCCATAGCTAAGATATGGAGATGCCTGTGAAAGAGGGGCCCAGAGGATGGACCAGCAAGATGGGAAGGCCACCTAACCAACGAGTCGGAGTGGCAGAGCTTAAACACACCTTGAGAAGTGCCTCTTCTCACCTCTTCCTTTAGCAGGAGGAGGCGGCAGGGCTGGGAAGGGGACGTTGCCGGCCAGGGCAAAGCTAAAGCACAGCCTTCATTCCCATAGATCCTAAGGTCAGTTATTCTGACCCGGTCAGTTATTCTGACCCTGAAATAAAAACATCTTTGGAAATCTAACAGGACTGAAGATCATTCATGAGTTGAAGAACATTCCACTTGTTTTAGTTATTGAGTTCTGGCAGTGAATGATAATCTGTATTCCTATCCAGGCAATTCATTTGCCATCTACATGGCTATAACAGTCCCTCAGATGCCCATGTGTGCCAAGTTCATCCTCGGTTACGGTGCATTTTAGGTGCTCTTACCTTCTCTCAGTTGTGCTTGGAGGACCTCATCAGAGAATGTTCTGCAAGTTCTTTGGCTGTGGCTGAACCAATAGTGACTTTTGAGTTCTTAGTAGGTGACTGTCAAAGTCACACTGAGTCTCAGGCAAGAACTTGTGCAGCCCACATGGGTGTACTGGGCAGCTTCCGGAGCTCTGAGGGTGTGAGCTGGTTTCAGTTCTTGCTCGTGTGGAAGGTTCAGGAGGCAGCTGAGCCATCAGCGAGTCAGCTCTTTAGAGGGGGCAACTTGCCAGAGAAGCCCACATCAGACAAGAACCTGCCGCACCAGTGACAGGCATGAAACGAAACACTCTAATGCCTAATTTTCGTACTATGTCGTGTTTTCACCAGTGTCAGTTCTAAGCTTTTGTGAGAAAGGATTAAACTGCTGGACTGAGGAGGTAGGTTTGCAAATCACTGGGAAATCAAAAAAGAAACATTCTATGTTAAAAAAAAAGTGACCTAAAATTTGAAGACATTGGATATAGTCTACGGAGTCCTAGGCTGTCAGGACGCACACAGAGATTTCCTGGAGATCAGGGCTCAATTCATATAGTCTGGCCTGTATCTTAGAATGTACATAAGAAATACGACATCTTATAGGAGAACCTGTTTAGGGCCACTCCAGAAACTCAGGACGTGTCTTTTATCACGTATTGTTAAAATAACATACATATGAAACAACGTGGGTTATGACTCGAGTCCTCTTCCAAAGACATTTAACATGGAATCGAGACAGAGAAAAAACAAAAGCAACACAAAAGCAAACAGAAGGACCTCATGGTCGCTCCACAGGGAACACCATGAAACGCAGTCTTCCTTTCTCCTGCCTTCACTTAAAACTCACATGCTCCGGTGGCCAGAGGTGGAGGTGTGCCTACAGAGGACTGGCAGTGCTGGGCGTGGGGGTCACACCTGCAGTCCTTGCTGCGTGGGGGGCTGAGGTGGACGAGCACTTGAGCCCCAGAGTTGAGTCCAGCCTGGACAACACAGCAAGACCACCCCCAGCTCTAGTCACTCAGAAGATAATAATAAATGAAATGATGATCTTGATTTTGAGTTTTCAAGAGGGAATCATGGAACTAGCTATGTGTCTGACTGTCATCTTTCTCTAGAGGCCATTTTATATACAGGTCATAAACAAAGAAATGAGGGATTGATTGGAACATCAAAACAGAATTCTCAGAAGAAATCTCAATTCTTGCCAATGGCATGGAATTCATGATGACAGAACCTCAGACCCAAAGGCTCAGAAGCAACGACCCTGAAAGATGTGTACAAATTAGGGTAAACTGTACGGAGCACAATTCAGAAACCACTAAATTTGATTTTTAAAGATTATATTTTGTATTTGAGAGACTTTAGAAACAATTTTCTAATATCTAAGACTCTCAAAGTGAAGGACACTGATTCCTGATTGGGGAAAGATAACATCAATTTAGTTAAAGACCAAAATACTGTTTATAATCTGGTCTGTAAAGCACTTAAATGTTAAATAAAAATGAACTTTGAGCTCATTTAGGAACACCCTCCTCTTACATGTGGCTGTTAGGTAGAGGTTTCTGGGTTAATACATTGTGTAGTTCTCAAGAGCAGAAGGAAACGTCATACCTCAGTGAAATATATACTTTCCACCCTCATTCTTTTTAATAAAATAGCCCAGGGCTGTTGCCAATAAGGGGCCTGTCTCTGGGCTGGTGGGAATGAGTCCTGTACCTGGCCAGTGCTGCTGGGTCGACCCCCCCAGACACGGCTTCCACTCTTTACACCTGGAGGACACCTGGCAGGAATTTGTCCTACAGGCATAGGTGGAGGGTTCTGCCTCCCCTTATGCTAGAGAATGCAGTGACCAAGCCCTGGACGGGTGTTGCTACTGGGGCAGTAGTGGACAATCCTTAGAAAGAAACACAGAACCCGGCACAGAGAGACGCAAAGCGTTCTGTCCCACAAGGAAGCCCCATGCACAGTGACGAGGTGAAAAGCCAAGCACGAGCCAGGTGCCCATCGGACTCAGGGAGAGCCGGCCCCGTGGCCACCAACCTGCTGTGGCCCTGCACGTCCCCCAGCTCCTTCTGCAGCCTCGCGTTCTTCTCCTCCTCCTCCAGCAGCCTCCTCTTCACCGAGCGCAGCTCCTGCTGGGCCTCACACTTGATGTCATTGGCCACCACCACCGCCGTCTGCAGGTCTGCCTGGAACCGCCTCCACTCTTCTGTCTCCTCCTGAAAACGCCAGAGTCCCCTCTGCGTCAGGCACCCTCGGGGCCATCACCAAGGTAGGATGGCCAGAAGGCACCTGCTTCACTGGTGTCTCACAACTAAGGAAAGGCACTGGTGGGAAGCACCTTCACATTATCAGAGTTCTCCATCCTAGAACTGAACTGCTTTGATTTTACTTTCACCCAACAAGAATTTATGGTTTCAGAGCCCAAGCCACGGAAAAGTTCCAAGATAAAGTAGGACAGAGAGAATAACCCAGACCTAGGAGGGGTGACTTACAGAAGATGGCAGTGAAGGCTACCACCCACTGCACAGGCCCACACCTCACCTTTATCTGCTCTGCAGC